TTCCTCAAAAAAAAAAAAGCTACCTGAGTGGATTCAGCTTCCCTGGGAGGCCAGAGTTTCCTTTGAAAGTGATCTGAAGTTGATTAAAACAGTCATGAACACATTCACCAGGCTTTTGCATACGAGCCTGAATTTTGTTCCAACCAACAGGCCTGGGAAAGGTGACTGGGATTGCTTGGTGGGGTTTTCCAGCAAGTGTGCTAATTTCTTGCCAAAACTTAGGCGTTTGTTTTTCTAAATCCCTTTCGGGATGTTCCCATCAGGGAACTTTCACCCAATATTGGGCCTGGCCTTCCCCAACAAGCATATGAAGGAAAATCTGAAAACCTCGGCTGAAGGTTTGAAAGGCTGTAGGTCTGAAAAACTACATTAAATTCATCCACAAATCTATGGGGGTCCTCGGTTGCCTTTGGAAAATCCTTACTGATGGCTCACAATTCAGCCTTAGTCCAGGGAACATAAGAGAACTGAGGTTTGTTTGGATCCTCAGAGGATTTAACTTTAAAAGCGCATGTTCTGATAGGTTCAGAAGAAGAAGGGGTGAGGGTAGATTCGGAGGAGAAAGGAAATTCTGCAAGAAGATTAGAGTCAGGAAGCAGAGGGTACAGGAAAGGTGGGGGTGGTGCAGAAGGGAAAGGGAAAGATGGTGACACGGCAGAGACCGTGGACGAGATGGCTGCCAGGTTAGAGCTTGAGACAAAGGAGTCGGGCAAGACAAACAAATGGCTCCCAAGACAAAGAAGCAGGGGCGACATGAGGCTTCAGAAGCCGTTTTCTTCTCCCTCAGTTTTTCAGTTGTTTCGGTTAATTTGGACATGATATCTTGCAGTGAGGCAGTTTCAGAGTTTGTGCATGATTGTAATCCTGTAGGTACTAATTAAAATAAACATCTCATGAAATAAGTCAGACAGAGAAAGACAAACACCATAGGATTTCACTCATATGTGGAAGATAAACAAACATATAGGTAAGGAGAAAAAATTAGTCATTACTAGAAGAGAAGGGGTTGGGGGAAGGGCAAAAGGGGTGAAGAGGCACATATGTATGGTCATGGATAAAAACTAGACTATTGGTGGTGAACAGATGAAGTCTATGCAGAAACCGAAATATAATAATGTACACCTGAAATTACATGTTATAAGCCAATGTGACCTCAATAAAAAAATAAAAAACAAACCATTCATCTTGCTTAAGAGCCACACTCTTCCAATTTGGCCTAAGAAAGACAAGTTTGGGGAGATCAAAAGTTCCCCATAATGGCCATTGGAATTCCAGACTACTCTCGGTCAGTTTGGTCCTCTTGGTTAAAAATGCATAAGTACAGGGCCCACAGTTCTTAAACATAAACCCAGCCAGGGTCCCTGAAAGAGGGTTTACCTCAGAACATTTACATGGCTGTGATCTCATTTCTGAAATCTCTTCTGAAAATCCAAGAAAGTTGCTATAGTCCTACCCCTGATCCCCAAAGGAATCTAAAAAAAAGAAAGTTGCCATATTCCAGCCCTGATCCCAAAAGGAATCTGAAAGCCAAAGAAAACTGGATTCTCCACAACCCCAAGCCCCCAAAAGAACTGTGCTATGTTCAGAGAATAACTGAGTACTCACTAAGGATGATGCCTTGAACCCAAGGACACAGCCTTGAACTGGGAAGGACAGAGTCCCTCCCCCAAGAGGACAAAGCCTCTCTCAATCCCAAATAAAGTTGGAGAGCCCAAAACATAAGGACAGCAGAGCTCAGAATCTGAGAGGAGACTCACCAAACTGAAAGCAGGCGGCAGCTCACAGGAGTGATGATAAAAGGGGCTCCTGTGGGTACCTCGCTAATTCTGGGGCTCACTTCCTTTAGATCCCACTTCTGACACCATATATGTCAACTTAAAAAGCAAATTTGCCCATTATTTAATCATCAAAATGAGTTTAATTGGGAATAGACAAAATAATTGCAATTCAGAATGTGCGTGCTGTGGTGAAGCATAGTCAAATCCAGAGAACACAGGAGTGAGCGGCTCTTATAGAGAAAAACAGGGAGTGAGAGGGGCTGTTCTAACAAAAGTCCATTGGAGGCAATTAACAGTCCAAGGTGGGAACAGCTTCTCATTGGTTGAGCTGTGGTGTTTCTCATTGGCTGGGTTGTGTCGTTTCTCATTGGCTGAGCTGTGGCATTTCTCATTGGCTGGGTTGTGTTGTTTCTCATTGGCTGAGCTGTGGTGTTTCTCATTGGCAGAGCTGTGGTGTTTCTCATTGGCAGAGCTGTGGTGTTTCTCATTGGCAGAGCTGTGGTGTTTCTCATTGGCAGAGCTGTGGTGTTTCTCATTGGCAGAGCTGTGGTGTTTCTCATTGGCTGAGCTGTGGTGTTTCTCATTGGCAGAGCTGTGGTGTTTCTCATTGGCTGAGCTGTGGTGTTTCTCATTGGCTGAGCTGTGGTGTTTCTCATTGGCTGAGCTGTGGTGTTTCTCATTGGCAGAGCTGTGGTGTTTCTCATTGGCTGGGCTGTGGTGTTTCTCATTGGCTGAGCCCTGGCATTTCTCATTGGCTGGGCTGTTGCCAGGTGAGGAGAGAAGTCTCCCTTCAGTAGTAAAGTAGTTGTACTTCCTGCCAGAGATGCAAGTATCAGTCTCTTCTGGTTTGGTGTAACTGATGATGTGTGACAGGGCATGAGAGCTCCCTAACAGGCCTTCTTGACTCCAATTTAGTTGAAGTTTCCTTCATTCATTTTACAAATCCCTGTAGGAACTGGTGTATGGTTTTAATAAAAAATCCCTGAAGGGGGTGCCAGATGAAGAGCCCACCTAGGTGCTCTCAGGTCTTGTCCAGCTCTTCACATGACACCCCTTCTCAAGTCATCCGATGAGCCAGCTGGGACCCCGCCACTGCCACTGGGGAGCAGGCAGTCAACCCACGATCTGAGAAGACAGACACATCCTGGTGCCAGACAGAGAGAAAAACAGGTTAGAGGATAGCCAGAGCAGGAGGAATTCCTCACGGCAGGCGGGATGAGAAGAAGCACCTCCAGTGTTCACAGGCTGGGGGTGTGGGCCCCACACTCACTGCAGAGGTGAGGGCTGGGTGGTGGGGGTACAGCCCCGTGTGTGACCTTGAGCGCATGCAACATCTGCACATATGGGGGACATCAGTGCGGCAGATGGGGCAGCAGAGTGCCTGCCCCACACGAGGGAGAGTGTGTGCATGTGACAAGCATCAGAATGCAGGAGGTGCTGAGGGGATGACAGCAGAATGTGACCACAGAGCGAGAGGGTGGCTTCTAATTGTGATGCACCTGGAGGTGTGACATCTGGATGGGCATCAATTTTCAGCAAACAGTTCACATCAGAGGCTATGTGGGCACTGAGTGGGCCTGGAACAAAGAAAGGTATGTGTCATCAAAGCTGGTGTGTAACAACTGAGCATGGAGTAGCATGTAACACAGTATGCACGTAGCCTCTGAGGGAGTGTGTGGCAACAGGGCGCTTGTAACAGAGACATCGGCCCCTGGGTGTGTCCACAGGCCCAGCCCCTGCCCCCATCCTAGTAATGGTCCAGGGTCCTGCACCTTCTGCCTACCTCCAGTGGGGCAAGGCTTCACAGGGAGCCCAGTGGCAGCAGCAGCCCCTGCCCAGGTCCACAGGGGGTTTCTGCCACTGACCCATGCTGGAAGGACACAGTGCTGGGGGACCTCAGAGAGGGGCATCCTGAAGCCTTGGGCAGGGGCCTGGGAAGGGAGAGCATCGCAGACAGGGGGACAGTAATAAGCAAAGGCCGGGGCATGAATGTGACTGAGCTGCAGCCCTAGCCAGCCCGGCCCCCACAGGCCAGCTGGGCCCTGTGACCCGGCTCGTGGGCCTACACCACAGGATGTGGGGGCACCACAGTTGGGATTTGGCCTCATCCCTGCCAAGCCGTCCTTCCCTGGTTGTGTTCTGATTTCTGTTTTTCAAACCCTCAAGCGTACCCTGCCCTGTTCTTCCTGGAGTTCTGGAATTTTTATATATCATCTAAGGAAACTGGGAAAGGACACCGCATTTTCAAACAGTCACTAAGGGGACATTCAGCTCCTCCCAAGGGACTCCTGTGGCTGGGTCTCCTCAAAGCCAGAAGGGTGGATCCTCATTGCCAAGTGGCCCAACACACACACACACACACACGCACACACTCACACTAGGGTGGAGGCCGCCCAAGGCACAGGGCTTTGCTGAGCTGGTTTGGGCTTTAATCTGACCCAGGCAGAGTGAAAGTTTAGATTTTCTCCAAATTGTCACTGTCGTCCCTCTGTAACCGAAAGTTCGGTCTCTGAACCCGTTGCCAATCCAAATAACGAGAACAGAGTCTTGAGTGGAAGAGGAAAGGTTT